TAGCCTAGTACAATCATGAATTCTGATGCTCATTTAAGCAAAAATGGAGGAAGATTAGGAGATAAAATAGCCAAGTAACAACAAAATTGGACCAAGAAAATTTGCTAAACCTGAGTCTGTCATAAATGCATATTAACCATTGAAACCAAAATTATTAATTCTTGAGTAAATTCATCAGGCATAAAACAATGATACTTTGTGTTAAATTATAGTTTATTTTATTTTAAAGGTTTCCTATTTTATTTAGGTTAGGATTTTATTGTTCTAATAGGTTTATCCTAATAGGCAAGAATTTCTCGTTAGTTTCTTCTTTGTGACTGCTATTTATATAGCCTTGTATCAATCATTTGGAATAATCAAGGAAGAATTATTTTTCCTTTCTTATCAATTAACACTTTGAATTATGTTATCTGCACTGCCTCTCATCTGTTAATGCTGCAGAAACAAGCACAACCAAGGTATTCATAAAAAAGCATCATAAAGACTCACCAAAAAAACAATACTGACGCAATCCAAGAAGGATTCCATCTCTAGCGATCTTGTTATAAGCATAAAAGGAACCACCAAGATGGTTTGTTGAACATCTATCAGATGTGTCTTTTGCAAACTTGACCATCAAAACATTGTCATCGCCTAACACCCTTTGCAGATGAGTTTTTGTATTGTTCAAAAATGGGCCCTGAACATAGATTACGTGTAGTAACAAACTGCAACTACGAAACTTCTTTAACAACAGTGAAATGACATTGCCAAGAAGATCAGACTCACACAATTGCGAATATTTATGTATACTGCATGTATTAGAATAGTAATGCTATCATTCCCATGAAAAAAAAAGTTGGACATGTCAAGAAAGTCTTTGCTGAATGTTGGTTGGGAAGCAGCCTAAGTTGGCGTGATCTACTTCAATACTGTTCATCGTTAACAAACAGCAATGCTAAAAGAGAAAAGAGAAATATAGAATACCTTCATAGAAGAATGTTGAGCATTGATTTGGTGTCTACCAGACACTAAGTTAAGTTAAAGCCTAAGCTGGTAAAGCTAGTAGATGTATCACGTAGCTAAATAATGATCTCGCACTTCACATTTATACAAAGACATGGTGATTACTACATCATCACTATACTTCCGAATTATAAGAACTTGGTTGCATGGGGAAGCATGTCATTCTTTGATTTTCTAAGCATGAGACACTTTTGGAGGTTGGTCGCTCATCTTAAATGAGGGTGGACCCCGCAAGCCACCACCTGGGCCAAATGCACCTTCTAGTACAGGCTGATATGCAAGATACTAATAGATAAAAGAGAACCCTAACCTCCTTTGCGACCTTAACAAATAATCTTACTTATAATTGCTACTAGTTTTCTAGCAGGCTTGGAGGAAATTTTAGAGAGTGAGAGAGAGTCCATGTAAATATTGAAAGACCCACCTAGATACAGCACCTGACATTCTTGATTTTCTTTTGAGAGGTGCTTTTCTTAAAGTTTTATTTTTGATAAACATAACTACGAATAAACTATGTTCCACGTTTCCTTGCACCTGTCAAGTTTAACTTTTTTGGCATAAATTAAAAAGCCACTTGGTACAATGAGTTTATTGATTCTCGTCTCAATTTTATAACCAAATAGTTGTTGAAGACCCTTGAATAGATCACTGTTCCAAATGTAATTGGTGTTTCAACAGCAATATAAAGAGGAACTTAAGACAGTTTGTACGGCCAAAAGCTCAAAGGAAAATCAAATATTTTATAGTCTAATGCAATTAAAACCATTTTGCAGGGAATTTGGATAGATAAAAATCGAAGTTCTTTTAAGCAAAACTCAGATCTTAGGTTGAGGCTCGTGATCTAGCTAAATTCACATTGTGTGTTGCTATATGTAAAGTCATTCAACTAATAATTCCCCCTTTTAATTAACTCAAAGAGGGCTGGGTTTCCACGAGCTCCTTCTGAGGAATTTTTTTAGAGTGCATCTGGTGTAAACCAATTCTTGAAGAAATTCTTTATTCAGATTCTGATTTTTACAAAGGAAAGGGTTGGTTTATAAGGAGCCAACATAACTAACAAACTAATATAAAACCAAACTCACTACATCAGCTTCCTTCCCTCTTAAAAAAAAACTCGTCCTCAGAGTTTATAAGGAATCAAAATAGGAGGAAGTAAGCAAACTTTCAGAACTGAATCTCTATTCCTTTTGTGATTCAAATATACTTCAACTGAAAATATTGTCTTCAATTCGTCAAAACACCAATAAAGCTGTGTGTTAATCATCCAACCAAGTGCAAAATCACAGAAGGAATTCAGCAGTCGACCCATAACTTCTTCACTTCCTATAGTCATATAGAATTTGTAAAGAACCCAATTCTTTACTAGCAAGATCTTGGTTCTTCAAAGAAATTAATCGCAATTCAATCACAGCATGACCTTCATGCAGCAAATTAGATTTGAATTCTTGAGGTTGGTAAATTGAGCTTTCTCCAGTTTTTCCAACTTCAATAATATCAGCTCCAACCAAGCCTTTCTCAACTTTAGCCACATGCTCTTCTTTAGGATCTTTATCACATGCTACAGTGTTAGTGAAAAGTTTCTCCAAACAAAATAAAATTTCATCTCCTTCATCGAAATAATCAGAAAAACTCAAAAGAAATTCATCTTCTATGTTGATTGAACTTATCTGAGAGAGTTTTTCTTGGAAAAAGTCAGAGGCAAGTAGAAGATTCTCCCTTTCCATTAGCTCATCTTGACAATTCTTGTGAAATTCTTGATCCAAACATCTCAATAACGATTCTTGTCGATTGAATTCTTGTTCTTGAACCTCCCACTCTTGAACAAAATCCCCTTCGTCATCAGAAAAATCCGAATCTTGAATACATAACTGCAAATCTTGGTGACGGCGTTCATGGCCTCCCACGTTTCTTGCTGTTTCCGGAGTGCGCAATCTATTTCTTGGTCGATCCTGGCACTGGTCGCCGTGTTCTTCATTGTTTCTGTTACCTAGGTCCAATCGAAGACGTTCTTGCTTTATTGATATAAGTTCCAGTTGGCGGCCTAAGTTTCCCACAAGTTCATGGATGTTGTGGATGCTAGACCAAACTTCACCTAAAGAATCCTCCATCAACAGCAAACGGTTGGTGGTAGATTTAGGTGATAAAGGTTGAGAGGTATCGAGATCCACCATGGGTCCCTTGCCGGAAGTCGCTACGTTCTTGCCGGCCATCAGGTCCTAAGATTTGTCTAGGGCTCTGATACCAATTTGGTGTAAACCAATTCTTGAAGAAAATTCTTTATATTCAGATTCTGATTATTACAAAGGAAAGGGTTGGCTATTTATAAGAAGCCAACCTAACAAACTAATATAAAATCAAACTCACTACATCAGCATCTTTTCATCATATTTATGAAATGGGGTTTTTTTTTTAACCGATATGTATTAAGAGAAAAAAACTACCGCCTAAGGGCAGGGGTGACTACAAAGGGGCCCCCCTAAAGAACTAACGAAGAAAAGTCTTCCAATCTTGAAGGATCATGGCTAAACTGTAGTTAAAAAAAGTTATTGTGGTTTAGGAACCATAAAGATGCATTCAGCTGTATGCTCTTACTAGAAAATGATGGGAGGATTGTTTGTTGTGAATCTTCTTTTCAAAACTTAAAAACAATCAGAAGTTAATAATATCAAAATAATTTCAATCCACGTTAAACCATTAACATCCCCAAAATAGTATAAACTATAAAGAAAGAAGTCAAACTTGAAACGAAACGCCTTTCCTTTGCAAGGGTCTTCTATTGGAAGACCTTGGATAGATATACAGAACAACCTAGAGGCCTTCACAAAGCTCACTTTTTTCAAAGTTTCAAGGGAGGACTCAGTGAGATTTTGGGAGGATAGATGGATTTTTTCAGCCTTTCTTCTTTGTTCCCTGATTTGTACAGCCTTTCCACTAAAAAGAACCATTCTGTGGCAGCTTGCTGGGTTACCGAGTCTTCAACTTGGGATATCGGGTTGAGAAGGAATCTTTTTGATAGGGAGATCGATAGATGGGCTTCTTTCACTGACAAATTAGGAGGTATGGTTCCGGGCCAAGGCAGGGATTGTTTATGGTGGAAGGCTGATAGTAAAGGTCGTTTTACAGCGAAATCAGCTTTTATAGCTTTGACGGCTCCCTCCCCTAAATTGAACACGACCACAGCTTCTATGATATGGAATTTTAGGGTTCCAAAAAAGGTGAAATTTTTCCTATGGACTCTCTTTTATAGGAGCACAAACACAGCCGAGAGAATACAAAGAAAGCTCCCCCATTGGACGCTCTCCCCTTCGGTTTGTGGTCTCTGCCTAAGAAATTCAGATTCGGTGGATCATATTTTCATCCACTGTTTTTTTGCCACTTGGGCTTGGAACTATATGGCTTCGCTTTTGGATTTCTCCTTCTGTCTTCCTAAACATATAGATGACTTCATAGCGGAAGGATTTGGTGGGGTGGCGCTCAAAGGCAAAGCTGCGATCCTATGGCAGTGTGCAGCGAGGGCTCTCCTTTGGCATCTTTGAAAAGAGAGAAATAGTAGACTTTTTGAGGACAAATCTGTCCCTTTAGATTCTTTTTGTGTGAATATAAAGCATACAGCTTCTTGGTGGGCCACAATCCACAAGAAGGCTTTTGGAAACTACAGTCTTTTTTTTATTTCACGGGATTGGAAGAATGCGATTGTATAGTTCTCTTTGGGGAGGGTTCTCTCTACCCTCCACCATTAGGTTGTTCTCGCCTTTTTGGGCTCTTTTGATTTGAATGCATTCTCTTTGTTTCTTATAAAAAAAAAAAAACTTGAAACAATAAAATTTCCAACATGCACTCGACAAGCCAAATTGGTGATAAACTGTGCGTACATGCAGAATGCCATCCATGTTAAGATACTGCTGTCACACACTTACCTTGAACTTGTAACTCCCATCTAATGCAACATAACAGTGATAGATGTGTGTTTTCCTACGATCCCAATCAACATTCTACAATTGAAGGAGAGAGAGAGTACATAAGAAAGACAAGTGTCCAGCATAGAATATGTCACAGAAATAAACTCCTAGCATAAGAAATTGACAACAAAGTAGATTCATTCAAATCATCGAGCTCAATCCCAGTAACAACTAACAACTAACAGAACAAAATTTTTATGAAATTACGTTGCTAAAACAAAATAAATATTGTGCAACATGGTTTCTGTAAAGTACCAACGTGCTGTTTTTTCTACAAGGCAGTGTACCAATAAAATCAACAACGTCACAGCCAAGGATAACCTGTGTTCGAGCATTTCTTTTCGTGCAGACCCAACCTCTCTTTCATACTTTCATTTATCTTGATGGAAGCTGGTTTAAGCCTAGAGTAACTCTAATTTTTGGCTGAGGTTTTGTTATTCATTTATATCTAAAATGAGAGATCATCTCCAACTCCAGCTCAATTATTCGAATCATTTGTCAACATATAAGAATCTATTACAAAATGTTCATAGTAGAATGACATCAACATAGACTTCATCTACACAAGCTTATAAATGGTCGTCCTAATAGTAAATCCACAGATGTTCCTTTAACAGAGCTTCAAGTGCAAAAACATATGAAGTTAGTTTCCTTTAAATTTTCGAAAAAGAGCCATTTACATTCTTCAGGTAAGAAACCACAGTTTCAACTGATATGAACCATCGCCTATGGCGGTGAGTGGAGCAAAATAAGACACTGATATTCCCAGAGACCAGCGATGACCATAATAAGTTTAAAAATTCTTACTCAAGTCCAAGGAAAATAACACTCAGCTCTAGGGAGGAAGGGAGCGAGAAGACCCTCTTCTGACTCGCAAATGGATTGGAAAGTAGACACACATGACTTTTGGATTTATTTATTAAAAACCAAACTTTCATGAAACATATAAAAGAAGACATGTGGACACTACAAAAAAAGTAATCCCAGCTCAGAAGGAGCCAAAACGACAAGCCCAAAAAAAATAGATAAAACTACAAGAAAGGGCTCCAAACTCTCAATAGATCATTTCCACAAAACACACCAGTGAGGACCCAGCAGCATAGAACAGTCTCTCAAATAGAATCGAATGGTGTTAATCCTCTCGAGTAATACCTACCAAGCAAGGAATCCCAAGTCTTACCTCCTTATAAAACAAATAGGGCATAGAAGTAAGAAGCACACGGGAGGAAGGAAAAAAAGGTGGGGAAAAGAAGCCAATTTAAAGAATTGAAACTCCACAAATAGACATCCTTGGACCTATGGCAAAAAGGAAAACTAGCAATAAAAAGACCGAGGAAGAGACATACGATGCTTCTCTATAGAATGCAGGCACTTGAAATTGAGAGCAAAGTTGTATGAAATGAAATCCCCGAGGGGGGCGAACAAGGCCTACGAAATTGGAATTCAAGGAAAATAGTTAATAGAGGGAAAGGATGACGGGGGACTCCGCTAACTAACTGGCCCCAAAAACGAGCAACCATGCCAATGTCATGCCCAATTAAAAATTTGACAAATTTAGATTAGCAAAACCAGAGAATTGCCTTTGATCTGTATGACATTCAAAATTTCGGTTACATGCATTTTTAAAAGTGGAATCTTCATGCAGTCTATTAATTGCTACTGTATTGTGACTTCGTTTAAGTAGTTAGTCTATTGATCTATAGGCTCAACTTGAGCTATCTCTAGAAAGGAAGTTTCTAGTTTTATCCTTTGACGGTTAGGCTTTGGCATAAAATAAAATAATCATAAAGCAATTAGAAATGTTAATCAAATTTACCACTCGGCGGTCTTCCTTACTAACACATTTTTCACCAAATGTTTTCCAAACTTCAAGCTCGAACTTTTCCATCGGTAACTGGCTCAGACTTCGAATTTGGTCTGCTGTTGCGACCATTTCAAGACTTTCTCTGCAGGAATTAAGGGGTGAAACCATTTCGTTTTCAGCAGAATGTAATATAAATTAAAATAACAGTAGATTATAAATGCAAGAGCAAGAAATAGTATACCCTCCAATGTAACTCAATATAAGAAACGCTTTTCTGAACTCGAGTTCTCCCAGCGCCACAAATTGTGGAATGTTTGCTCTATCTGAAACCGAAGACGAAAAACTTCCGGATTTTTCTAGAGTCGGCGGCTGAAAGCTTGTTCTCTCAGTAGTCCCTAACCCTACAAAAGGTATGCGCAAAAAATAATTGGCACCGTATTCCAATACTTGGGGACTAAACACATTGAAGCATGCATCTGTTTGCCTTGATTTACAGAAGGCTTGGACAATGCCTTTGAACTAATCGATTTAAAAATAGTTCGATGCAGGAAGACACGTTGTATCATCTAGACTATGTTTCAACTTCGACCCTCTAAGCGTAAAAATACGTGTAGAAGAATGCTTATATCGGAAAACGGGAGCACGAAAAAGGGAAGATAAAGAACCTTGAGGGCTATAAACGCGGCAAGTTGAAGGACTTTGATGCGGAGAAACGGAGCAAGTCGAAGGACTTTGAAACGGAGAAACGCCGGAAGAGGAAGGACTCTGGTGCGGAGAAACCCAAACCATCTTCTTCTGAGGAGTACAAGGATCATTACGAACCATATGCAGGATGAACCCGCCAAGGCTCCTAACAGCGCGTGAGGAGATTTTGTGGAGAGTATCAAGAGCTGCTTCTTCACCCAATGAAGCTAACGCCAGTCGCACTTTGGCATCAGGCGGTGGCTGGTTCTGTTGCATACATATTTCAAGAAGCAACTGCTCAACGGACGGTGGAAGAGGAACTTCCTGAAATTGATCGGCCATCGCAAAAGCTTTCAAACTAATGCTGTAATGCAGACTTCTCCAGAGTGTGCTGCCAAAGAAAACCAGTATACTAATATATACTAATTTTTAAGAACAGTTCCATTGACACGACAAGGCGAGCTCCTCCATTTCCCATGCTCGAAAGTCAAGTCAATCATAAAGCTTTCCACTGTCCTGAAGATCCTTTTTGCTAGCCAGGACTGTCCACAGGATATTTGAAGTACAGAATCCAACGGCTGGAGATGATAACTTAAGGCAGAGGGTTTCTGTTGTTTACTACTTTAATGCAATAGCCTTGTAGGTGCTGCAAAGAAAAGACCAGAGTCTTCGTCGCCTTTCACGTCGGGAAGACAATTTCCTTACTAATCTGCAACTCCACTTGAAGCGGCCGAGTATTGGTGCGGTTACCAAATTACTCAGAAAAACGCACTGTTTCGAACTTCTACTCTGAAAACCGATAGAACGAAATTGCGATTGCGATTGCGACTGCGACTGCGAGCGACCTGAAAAGTAAGAACAAATATCCAAAGTGACAAGAACAATTACTACCGTTAAGTTCGTAAGTAAGTAGAGCAGCTCTTGAATTTAGAGCCTATTTTTTACTTCTAAGAAGGATTGTCTTCTCCGGCATGATTTTTGCTGAACCGGATTGGAGATTTCGCTCGTCGGAGAGGATACCTAAATTACAATTACACAGAGCTCGTCTTCAACTTCGAGTGAAGCAGTTTCACGGCGTGTCGTTGGAGAAGACGGGGAGCAAAACTGATGAACTGAGCAGAATAAGACTTCAGTCCCACGTTTGAAAAATGCGATACGTCGAATCACCGGTAACACTATCAAGAGAATTGAACGACATGACGTTTTACATTTAGCAAAATATATTTTATGCCAACTTCATAAATTAGAAAAAATCCTTTTTTTTTTTTTTTTCTCTGTCTTTTGTAGAGAATTGTTATTCACGTATTTATTTCATTTTTACTCGTTTGGCTTCGTTCTTTATATTTTCAAGAAACGGTCTAATTAGTAAATATAGACTGCTTTATATTGGAATATAATATGGTTGAATGATATTTTTAGAATGGTACATACACTTTAATAGCTTTCCAAATATGAAAATAATATCTATTATTACCCTGCAAAAAAAATATTGCCATATTGGAATATCTATTTTAAGTTGGAATTGTTATAGTTTTTATTATTATAAGAACAAAATATGGACAGTAGAGAGATAAAAGATGAAAGAAGCAAAGAACCATGTAGACATGCTTCAAATACCATGCTAGTTTTTACGGATTTCACCTTAAAATAATTTCTTCAAGCTTTAACACAAAATTTAAAATTTTGGTCGTTTGTTTCTTTTTTTTCTTTCTTTTAGAACACTTGTTTTCTTCTCTTTTAAAATTACGAAGTTGCATCTTCAATATTATAATCAATCTACATCTCATCTAAAACTATATATTATTTTGAATATTTTGAGAATTAGCTCACTTTAAATATAACTATATTTTGGTTTAAAATGTTGGGATATAATATATATATATATAGATATTCGTTCTTAGTTGATATATATGATAACATTCTATATGAGAGAGCAAAGATATACTTTAATATAAATAAATTTGAGGTGAACAAAAATTAGTTAAAAATAATTTGGAATAAGAAGTAATGGTGTAGATAGGAACTAAGAAATAGTAGAAATATATTGATGGTAAATAGTAGTGGAAGATATATAACGTCCAAAATTAAGATTATAAAGTAGAATATGCGTGCACAACTCAAGTAATTGCTAGCTGACCATTGCAATTTTACCTTTTACGAAAAGCTATAAATTTGAATCTTTGCTTTCATAAATATGAAGTATTCTAAAATCAAAATAATTCAAAAGGAAAAAAAATCAATTGATTAAGATATTAGTAAACTTAAGCCTTTGGTTACCAAAGGCTTAGGTTAACATTTCAATCATTGTAATATTTAAAATAATAAGCATAAGGAAGAAGTGGTAAAAACAAGGAGGAGAAAAATTGAAATAACTAACTTGACCATTATTTTTTAATTGGGTCAACCATAAGGTCGCTATAAATTGACTGCAAGTCATATTAAGTCTCGTTGATTCAATTTAACTAAGTCCATGACAAATCTAAATCATTATTTTTCCTAATACAATAAAGATAGAGACGGAGGGTTAAACATTCGACTTTCGAAGAAGTAAAGGCACTTTTAACCATTGAAATATGTTCGCATTAATTTACACAAATATTTACATTTATGTTTGTGCAAACAAAGGATGAAATGTTAAAACAGGTGAACAGGGAGCTCAATTCAGTTGCAGATCGTTTGTCAAGGGGAGTAGATAACTGGCAGCAACTTTCACTTAATAATATTCCAAGGAAGGATTTGTAATGGTAATTCAATAAAGTATTCTATTTTTTATGATTTTTTTTCTTATTTTTTGTTTTCTCTTTCAAACATAACTGTGTTGTAACTATTTTTTTTTATTGTTCTTCCATTTGTAATTCAACACAGAAATAAGAACAATGGCCATTAAGATTTTACGTTGGACACAAAGACATATAAACATAACGAAAAAAATATCAATTTTAAACTTAAACTTGACAATGTGTATCAATCTACACCTTAACAAGGTGTCGTAATTTTCACATGTGTGGCAGATTTTACCCTTCAATAGATTTTCATTTGAAAATTTGTTGAAAAAAAATATTTTCATGTGTCAAATGAAAAAAAAAATTGATATGAAATAATTAATAGGATTTAGGAAAAAAAAAATACATTGGAGTTTTTTTTAACTTAAATTTGTAAGTTTTGGCAAGGTTATTTAATACTAGGTTTTGTGTATTAATCAAACTTAATTTGAGAACTTCAACTTGATTTTTATTAAATTAATGATTTCTTATGAATTTTTTTTATTAAATTGAGGATAAAAATTACGATATTTATATACATTTAGTATTATTAATTTAAATTTAATAAAAACAGCTAAATTAGACATAAAAGTTGAATTATTAATTTTTAAATGAAGAATACATTTTCCTAAAAAATAATATTTTCAAATCAAAATAGTTATGAGATTCAATCCCATCACAATAAAAATATATTTAAAAACTAAAATTTAAAAAAAAATACAATGAAAAGAAAAATTAAATAAAAATTAAAAAACATGCCCAATCTATAACACAAACTCGGGACAATGAGATTAATATATTTGGAAAAGAAAACTTAAAAGAAAACAAAAAAAAATGCGCTAAAAACAAAAATCAAATATCAAAATTGCACCTGCTAGGACTTGTTGATGGGATGTCGAGAATGGGGCGAGAAGGCAGAGGAAGGAAAATCCAGGCCACTCAAAATTTTCTTTAAATACCATGAACTATATTAAATATATCCGTCTCTGAATAGAGATGTGTTTGGTAATAATTTATTATTCATTTTTTATTTTTTATATTATATTTATTTTTAAAATATTTATTATGCATTTTATAAGTTAAGTCCTGAATGTTAAAATAATGATTACATTTATGATTTGAAAAAAAAAACTAGGAAGGGAAATACAAAAAAAAAATGTTTATCAATAATAAAGACGAACAATTACCAAACATGTAATAAAAACTAAGAAAACAATGAAATAGAACAAGAGAGTAACTCTATAAAGGAAGAATTTCTATTCCATGAATCAAGAATTACCACAAGTAT